TTGGGGGAGCACCACCCATTGGAAGCGAAGGGCAGGCTCCCTAAAGTTAATCGCAGGAAGGCTAAATGCAAACCGAGGACTATCTTGAGAATGCAAGGGAATAGAAAAGAAGCAATCCTTCAAATCAATAACAATCAAATGCCAGTCTTTAGGAATGGCCACAGGCACGGGCAAGCCAGGCTGCAGAGCCCCCATAGGCTGCATGGTCGCATTCACGGCCCTCAAGTCTTGTAGTAACCTCCATTTCCCTGAAGATTTTTTTATTACAAATATAGGGGTATTCCAAGGGGACGTGGAAGGAACCAAATGACCTGCCTCCAATTGTTCTTGAACTAGCTGGTGAGCCGCCCTTAGTTTCTCCGCTGGTAAGGGCCACTGTTCCACCCATACCGGATCATCTGATAGCCATGTGATGGGTATGGGGGCTGGCGGCGCAACAGTGACCCTCATCAAAAATGGCCAAAACCCTTCCTATCCCCTGGGGCCCTGGTCTCCAAAGGGAGGGATGCCACAGGGCAAACCTCTCCCTGTTCTAGTTTACCTAGTTCCCTCCCCGGGCTCCAGCCCCTCCCTTGCATCATCTGGGGGCCCCTGCTTTTGGACTTGGGTGCCTGAGTGGTGAGGACCACTCCCATTTCTTGCATGAGGTCCCGTCCCCAGAGGTTAATAGGGAGGCCAGGCAAAACATATGGCTGGAAAAGCCCTGTGTGGCCTTCAGAGTCTTGCCACTTTAAGATTCTGAGGCTTTTTTGGGGCACAGCCTGTCCTATTCCCTGGAGGGTCACTGTCCCTTCCTCTTTCGGCCAGGCAGGGGGCCAGAATTTATCTGAGAGGACAGAGAAATCTGCCCCAGAATCTAAGACGCCCCTAAAGGACTTGCCTTCTATCTTTAATGTAAGCTGGGGGCGGTTCTCCATAGTGGCTACCCAAAATGCTGCCGGGCCGGTACTTCCAAAACCTTGGTTGCCCCTTTTCTCTTTAATTTTTCTAGCCTCACAAGGAGCTGTAGGGAGAAGGAGTATCTGAGCAATCCGTTCTCCTGCAGGGATGGCAACAACCCCACTGCCCACTGATGTCATTATTTTAATCTCCCCCTCACTATCCTGGTCTATAACACCGGGGTGTACCTGGATGCCTCGAAGAATAGTACTGGACCGTCCCAAAAGTAGTCCGACCGTGCCTGGGGGCAATGGCCCATGCACCCCAGTAGGGAGGGCCTGGATCCCCATTTCCGGTGTTAGGATTGCCCGGGCAGAGGGAGCGAGGTCCAATCCTGCACTCCCGAGGTGGCTCTAAGGAGGTCTGAGATATGAAGGGGTTGCTCTGGGGGAGAAAATGAGTCCTGCCACTGCCCAGAGCAGGGGTCATTGCCCCGTACACATTGGTTTTGGGGCCCTGGGGCGGGGCCCTCCTCCCGTTTCCCTGATTATTATTAGCAGAAAGGAAATTTCCCTCCCTGTCAGTTTTAGAGTAGCAGTTATTGGCCCAATGATATCCCCTTCGACAACGGGGGCATAAACCAGGTCTCTTGAGACCCGTAGTACTATTTTGAGGGCACTCTCTACGGAAGTGTCCCTCCCTACCGCAGCTAAAACATGTTTTTCTCCTTCCCAGAGTAGGTCTTTCTTTCCCCACTTGGGGCCGAATAGCAGCAGCTAACACTTGGCCCTGGATGAAGTTCCCATCAATGTCCCTACAGATCCGGATATAGTCATTTAGACTTTTATTGCGATAGGGGCGAAGGGCTTCCTTACAATATTTATTTGCATTTTCAAATACCATCTGCTGATGACTGGCATCGCAGGCCCAATGCCCCCAAATATTCTTTCTGCTACCTGACTGAGACGGTCTACGAAGTCTTGAAAAGGTTCGGAAGGTCCTTGAAGGACTTTGGACAGATGATCCCCTCCTTCCTTGGAAGGCAATGCTTTCCAAGCCCCTTGGGCCGCTGCTGCCACTTGGGCATAGACTGCGATGTCATATTGCATTTGCTGCTGAATGGTGGCGTATTGACCACTTCCGGTAAGCATCTCCACATTTCTCTGGGGCTGTCCGGCCTGTGCATTCCTTTGGGCTGTCTGGCTGCATCTTTCCTGAAACTCACCTCTCCAAATCAAATAATCTCCCCCCGACAGAGCTGCTCTGCAAAGCTGCTGCCAATCGCCAGGTGTCAAATTAAGAGACGCAAAAGATTCCATTAAGGAAAGTGTAAAGGGAGCCTGTGCTCCATAATTTAAAGTTGCCTCTTTCAGTTGTTTTATATCTTTGAAACTTAAAGGGTCATGGCGCCGAATGACCTGTCGAGAATTGTTCGGGTCTGGAACTTCCATTACCGGGGCCACCACTGGGCAGCATTGGACCCCTCCTCTGGGTCTTCCCTCCAGGTCTGAGAAGGACTGGGTTATCTCATAGGAGGAGTCCCTTTTTTCAGAGTATGGGGAAGGGTTTCTCTCCCTGTCCTATCTTTCCTTAATTAGAATCTTTTTTAGTTCTTTTTAAGGGCCGCAATCTCAGCAAGTAACCGTTCCTTTTCAGACTGTGACGAGTCTGAGTCTGAGCTACTTCCATTTTCTAGGTCTGATAGAGAAGGATATAACCGATTCTGACCGGAGTCCTTCTTTTTGGGTCGCGCCCGGAGATCTCTACCCATTTTTTTGTTGTTACTAAGAGACTCCTCCTCATCCTCACTAACAATGGAGCCTCTAGTTTCAGTCACGGTCTCTTCATCATCACTCTCTGCCCCTGAACTCAAGGAGGCTTGAGTCTCAGTCTCTTGTAACTCTAAAAAAGCCTCTTTTGTGTCCTGAACTACCTGGCGGTGACGAACCTTATCTGTCAAAAGTGCTCCCCTCACTAATCTCCATAAGGAGAATGTCGTAGGGGGCAAGGACTCAGATCCCTCTTTTCGTAAAAGTCTATGAAGATCACGGCGAACCTCCTCCCAATCTGGAATATTTAAGCTTCCCCCAGTAATGAACCATGGACTGGCTCGTTCGATGGATTTTAGAAAGCCTTCTAGGGTTTTAGACTTGACTGCAGTCCCATGTTCTTTAAGTAACTTTTTTAGTTGATACTGTAATGATTCTAGCTTCCCGGAACTATTCCCCATAGTTTCTTAACCCCGTCCACTTACCTCGCTTTCACAATCTCAGTGGGACCTCCAATTGTCACGTCTGCTGCGTGGCCTGTGTCCGAGAACGTGCGGAGGGTGTCGGGGATTGACAACACAGAGACTTGTTCAATGATATAAAGAGAACTTTAAGCAGGCCCCAAAAAGGCCCAAGAAAACTTCCTAAGAAAAGCTCCCACCAGAGAAGCTTCTGCTCTCTCCTCTACCCTGGCTGGTTCTGCTCTGACGCCAGAGGTGGATGTGTGTGGGTTTTTGAAGGTGCGGTTAGTCTCTGGACAAGGTCGAGGTCAGGGCGGTTTCCGTGGGAAGGCCTTTCCCAGGAACTTATTGTATCATTTTTAGTAAACATGTTTTTACTAAACATTGTCTTACAGCTGCCTACTCCCAGGCAGAAGGGGAAGTGGCCAGGAACTTATTGTATCGTTTTTAGTAAACATGTTTTTACTAAACATTGTCTTACAGCTGCCTACTCCCAGGCAGAAGGGGAAGTGGGTCTCTGCTCAAGGTCTGGTGTTCCCACAGAGAACAGCTCTAAGAGCAGTTATTCCTGACCAGAAGCAGAACTGCCTTATCTTTGTAATAATTATAGAATGCTCTGAATTTAGATTTGTTTTGTTTTTGTTTTTGCAGATGCCAAAGCAAATTCTAGTATTCAAACATATGTGCTCATGGTGTGTGTGTGTGTGCATTCTCCTTGGGCACATGTCATGGGATCAGGAAACTTTATGTAAAAGGCCAGGTTGTATATAGTTCCAAGCATGTTGATCCTGTGACACACAGGTCATATGTATCCCAGAATAGTCACAAAGTTGACTTTCCTGGTAGACCTTGAGGACCACATTGGGACTTCTTATGTTTTCTTGTTTACTTTCCTTCTTTTTAATCTTTTTCTTTAAGATATATTTTTATTTATGAGTGTGTGTGTGTGTGTGTGTGTGTGTGTGTGTGTGATATGTGTGTATGCATGCCACATGCTTGTGGGTGCCCTTGGAGGCCAGAAGAGGGCGTTGGATTGCCTGGAAGTTGGAGTTACATACAGATGGTTATAAGCTGCCTGATGTGTGTACTGGAAATCAGACTCTGGTCCTCTGTACAAGCACCACTGAGTCATCTTATCAACCTCTATACTCTTTATTTTTAAATAGTCCTTTAAGAATGTAAAAACAAGCCGGGCGTTGGTGGCGCACACCTTTAATCCCAGCACTCGGGAGGCAGAGGCAGGTGGATCTCTGTGAGTTTGAGGCCAGCCTGGTCTACAAGAGCTAGTTCCAGGACAGCCTCCAAAACAATACAGAGAAACCCTGTCTCGAAAAACCAAAAAAAAAAAAAAAAAAAAAAAAAAAAGTAAAAACAAAAAGGCCATGCAGTGGCAGCACATGACTTTAATCCCAGCACGTGAGTTAGATCTCTGTTAGTTCAAGGCCAGCCTATTCTACAGAGCGTGTTCCAGGACAGCCATAGCTACACAGAGAAACCATGTCTTGAAAAGCAAGCAAACAAGCAAAAAAGGACCAGTGAGATAGCTCAACAAGTTGACCTGAGTGTAATCTGCCCAGAACCAAGTTCAAAAGCTGTCCTCTGACCTCGACGTGTGTGCCGTGGCATTCACATCTACACACATACCATGTATACATACACACAATAATAACTAAACAGATTTTTAAAAAATTCTTAGTTTGTATGCCATAAAAAAACAGTAGGGTTACTGTGAGAGTTACAGAAGTAGTCTTGGTCAAAGGGTACTCACATACTCTGTTAAAAAAAAAAATGATGCTATTACTAATCTTACCACAGTGTTTAAAGACTGTCAAGATCCTTTTGTACTACTATTTTCAAGTGCTAAGTTCTTGCTTTTGTTTTTGATTTTTAGTATTATGTTCGACTCCATGTGTAACTATCCCTGCCTCTCCATTTATGCAGAAGCTTGGCTTCGGGACTGGGGTCAACGTTTACCTAATGAAAAGGTGAGTGCAAGATTTCTGACTTGTGGGTGTTAGGTCCCTGTGCCTGAATTGGGTAAGTTCTTTATTACACCTGAAGGTTACATTTCCAGTTCTCAGAATCTTGGTAAGTGCTAGAGTTCTGCCCCAAGCACTTTACTCCTAGATTCTTCATGGTAGATTATTAAAAGGGAATAGCTTAACCTTCTGCCATCTCTAAGAAGGGGAAAGATCCCAGAACATGGCTTTGAGTGTGGTGAACAAGTGTAGGAGAATTGTTCTGTTTGGAGTTGAAATAGTTGTTGGTGAAAGAGTGTGTCAGGGATGGGGAACTATTGGCAGTTAATGGCTATAGGGAAGGGAGAGTCAATTCTCTTCAGGGATGCAGCCCCTATGAGGCTACCCACGCTCCAGGAGATGGTCCTGTACCCATGCACTAAGTGGACTCTGGGCTTAACGAATAAAGAGCACATGAGGATTGAAGGGGAGGGCATGGAAAATACATTTGATCAGAACATGTATGTATAAAATTTCAAATAATAAAAGAGCATTCCATAATATAGACTGTTTTCATCTCTTTAAGTTAAAATTCTTTAATATTTATTATAGAATCTTGTAACTCATCTCTGGTACATATAGGTAAAATGTTTGATGAAATAGTGACTGACTTGCCAGAATAGAAATGTTAGAAAATAGTGTAGCAGTTTTCAAGTTAATTGTACTTTTATAAATTTGTAACATTCTATCTCTATCTTTCTCCTTTAATCCCTTCTCAGAGCTTAGATATTGAGACACTGACTTAGTCCAAACAGAAATATAACAAGGATTGATGATCTAAAGACTTTTATGTTTTTTTTTGTTTTTTTTTTGTTTTTTTGGTTTTACGAGACAGGGTTTCTCTGTATTGTTTTGGAGGCTGTTGGTCCAGAGATCCACCTGCCTCTGCCTCCCCAGTGCTGCGATTAAAGGCGTGCGCCACCACCGCCCGGCCGAATTTTATGTATTTTTAAATACATATTTCTATGGGGTCAATTTGAGGATGGTGTTGTTTTTTATTCCTTTTGTACCTTAAAATTTACGTATGTATTTTTTAGATCTCCACGTGGGTTGTCTCATTCTCCTTGGGCCGTGAAAAAGATCAATCCTTTATGTAATGATCACTACCGAACTGTGTATCAGAAAAGACTGACTGATGAGGCTAAGATTTTAAAAAACCTTAATCATCCAAACATCATAGGTAAGTGCAGGTTGACTTGGCGGCAGTTATGTGGCAGATCAGTGTTCTGTGGTGCTAGAAACAATATAGATACATTCTGAAAGGGTTTTGCTAATAAAGTTGACTTGGGTGTTATTGGAAATCACAAGTTAATGTGAATTGTCTAAAGTAAAAATTCTTGTAAGGTGCTAAAGAGATTAGGTAAAAGAGAGGTAAAAGGACTTACCGCATTTGTGGAGGACTCAGGTTCAGTTCTTGGCACCCACATGGTGGCTCACAACCATCCACGGGGTATCCAATGTCTTGACTTCCAGTGGCACCAGGCACACATGTGGTGCATATATAAAAAAAAAAACTTTTAAGATTCACATATCTTAGATCTTTAAGTGCTTGTATCCAACCCTCATGGAGTTGAGGTGTAGTCATTTTGTGCAGATAAAGATTTCAGGACTTAGACTGGTCTTCGTTTAGATCATTTATGCTCATTTAGATAGGTTCTTGCATTGTTTTCACTGTGCATTTTTGGGACTAATGTGTCTGGTGGAATCATTGTATTTACAAAAGTCTAATTTGATCTGTGGTGCTAGACACACACTTGAAGGCATTTAAATTCTAGCTGTGGGTTAATTTTCTAAACGATAGCTATTTCATTGTGTTAGATCAGGTCCAAGATATATTACCAAACAAGCCCTGGTTTCCAGAGGAAACTGTCACATTTTCTTTAGGGTACCGTGCCTTTACTGAAGCCAGTGATGGCAGTCTGTGCCTCGCTATGGAGTATGGAGGTGAAAAGTCTCTGAATGACTTAATAGAAGAGCGCAACAAAGACAGTGGAAGTCCTTTTCCAGCAGCTGTAATTCTCAAAGTTGCTCTGCACATGGCAAGAGGGCTAAAGGTAACTATATTTTAAATAGCTTTGGTGAACTATGAAGAAATTAAACATGGGTTATACCTATGTTGCTATATTTTTGGATAGATATAACAAGGGAAGAAAAGAAATGTATATATTAAACACTAGTAATAGTGACTAGAAAACTACTGATAACTCAGTGTCATGATAGTGATGTCAGGGTTACATGTTAAGGTTTCATGTGAAATTGGTTTATGGAACAGATTGAGGAAAAAAGCATTTTAAATACAATTAGTTCAATTAACTACATTTATAGATAATTTTAAATAGGATAGAGCTGGGCATGGTGGTACACACATTTAATTCCAGTGTGGCACAGGCAGGCAGATCTCTGAGTTCAAGCCCAGCATGGTCTACAGAGTAAGTTTGAGGGCAGCCAGGACTACATAGAGAAACCCTGTCTTGAAAAACAAAACAAAAAGGATAGAAACGTCTGAATTCCTTACTGACTGATGGCTTTAAGTATGTATGTACAGTGAAATTAATAATGTGACCGTGTTGGGGCCTATTCACTATGTGATGGGCTACATTTGCAGTAAGCATAGGAAGGGCAGATCACAGCAAGAACTACTTCTCTTTTCTAAGCCGCGCTCATAGGATAGTACTCAAGTGCTGACAAATGAACGCTGTTCAAAATGTGACTGTAATTACGGACAACCCCCAAAGGAGTTAATGTATAAAACATATAGAATACATCTCTGCTTCTGCTTATAGTAGCTCCATGTCACCTGCATTACATCACAATTTGAGAAAAGTTTGCTTTATTGTGAAGATTTCAAAATTCAGACAAAATTTTTAAATGACATGGCATGTTCCTTTCCTAGCTTCAAATACTTTGAAATAGATAAATAAGTTTATAAAAGGAATTTAAGTCATTGTTGGGATTTTTTTTGTTTGTTTTGTTTTTCGAGACAGGGTTTCTCTGTATTGTTTTGGAGGCTGGCCTCGAACTCACAGAGATCCGCCTGCCTCTGCCTCCCTAGTGCTGGGATTAAAGGCATGCGCCACCAATGCCCGCCTGTTTTTTTTTTTTTTTTTTTTTTTTTTTTGAGACATGGTTTCTCTGTGTAGCCCTGGCTGTCCTGGAACTCTCTGTAGACCAGGATGGCCTTGAACTCAGAGATCCTTCTGCCTTTGCCTCCCAAGGCATGCACCACCACTTCCTGGCTCAAGTCATTGTTTTATTGAAAGAATTTTTATTAGGTTTTCCCTGGTCATGTATTTGAATGCTTTTACAATTTTAGTATCTGCATCAAGAAAAGAAGCTGCTTCATGGAGATATAAAGTCTTCAAATGTTGTAATTAAAGGTGATTTTGAAACAATTAAAATCTGTGATGTAGGAGTCTCTCTGCCACTGGATGAAAATATGACTGGTAAGTGGCATTGTTTTAAATTCATACAATTTTGCATTGTAGAACATAATAAACACATGTTTTAAATGAATTTCATGAAAAGTGTATAATATAGTTTCTTTCTGGTGTTTCGCTTTCTCTGAGCTCCCGCTCCATGTATTGACTTCTTGGCAGTGTGTCTTTTTTTTTTTTTGTCTTAGTTTGATTTGTTTGAGGTTGGTCAGGTTAAGATGGCCTCAGGCTCAGTCTGTGCCCACACTGGTCCTCACCAGCATGGATTTTGCCTGACTACCTATGGGAAAGACACATCCACCAGAGTAGAGCTTCCCCCAGCTTCTGGGCATTTGTAATCCAATCATGCAAATCATTTTTCCTTTTCTTTTCAACTATTTTTCTCTACTTTTATGTTTATTGAAAGCCTCAAAGTAGAATTTCAAAGATAAGCTTGTTTGATTAAAGAAACAGTTTTTCTCCCCTATTGTTTAGGAATTATAAGCATTTTGTTTTCAATTCTATCTTTATTTGTGTAAAATGGAGATTACAGTAATGAAATACTGAAAAATTATATTTTTAGTGTAATGTACTTTAACACTGTCCAGTGAATTTGATTTATCCTAATTAGAGAAACAGTTTTTAAACATATAAAGGAAATTTTGCCTTAAGGAAGATGTCATAGAATACTGGACAAAGGAACAAATAACTGGGAGAGCCTTGAGTTTTGGGAGTTTAGCAATGCAAATTTACATAACTATTGGGGTGTCATTGGGCCAGTTTCGGAGACTGTTTTGAATGGATTCATAAAATGATACACCATGTAAAGTCACTATTTCAGGAAACTTGTAGCTATTAGGGATTATTAAAAAGACAAAAGGCAACACACTTCCTTGTCAGCCAGGAAAGGAAGAACAAAGTCCATAAAAGGAATAAGACAGGAACAGATGTCACTGGGAAATGTTAATAAAGCCAGAACATTGAAAAAATAAAAATTCTCACCAAGACTGAAAAGAAAGAACATAATCACTAATATCAGGCATGAAGAGGGTCACAGCTGTACATTCTACATATGTATAAGGACTATTACAGACAGCTGTATTCCACCAAATATGACAGATATATAAAAATGCAATTATCAAAATAGATATAAGAACTAGGAAATCCAAAAATAGCTAGTAAAACAATCCTACAAAGAATCTCATGGTTGATTTTAAAAGAAAATTGGTACTAGAACAAGTGGCTATCCATTTTATTTGTATATACTAGTAAACAATAAAACAAAAAGTTAAAAATTCCATTTATAACTGTTAAAACCCCAAGATATTTAAATATCTAAGGAGAAAAAAAATCCACTAAGTCTAAGCCTGTAGTCTGGAAACCATAAAATATCACTAAGATGGAACCAGACAGTGAAAGAAAGATCTGTGTATTTCACTTGATACTATTGAGATGTTAATTCTTTGTAGATTGATCTACTAGCCCATTCTTTCCTAATTAAGTTTTGCTGTTTGTTGTTTTTGCTTTTCAATTGAAGCTGACAAAACTATACGGGACTATACGGGACTGTGAGTGGCATGAGATACTTTAACAGCCAGTATGTGACTATTTCTCTGGGTCTCCTGACTTAGCAATCATGGAAGCACTGAAATGCCATCTGTTATTCAACCTGTAACTTCAGAGCTTACAGGAAATCCAAGACCTAGACATAGTCTGCTGTTGTCACCCAGCTTGCATACCTTTATAAGCAAGATGGTCTGGCTTGAGCAGAATTTTGACATTATCTATACTCTAAATTTGTTATTACCTCCTAAGGGAAATGTAGTTTTCTTATATTCTCACCAACTGATGAGATTTTAATACTTACTAGTCTGATAGGGGACAGATCCATTATAGTGAGGTTGAATATAGGGATTAACTTATGAACTCCCCATATAAATGAGTTTTGCTTGTGTTTTGTTGGTTGCTTGCCTTTCTCCATGATCTTTAACACCTGCTCTTATGACTATTCTTGTATTTGTGTGTTTCAGTGACTGACCCTGAGGCCTGTTATATTGGTACTGAGCCATGGAAACCCAAAGAAGCCTTGGAGGAAAATGGCATTATTACTGACAAGGCAGATATGTTTGCTTTTGGTCTTACTCTGTGGGAAATGATGACTTTATGTATTCCACACATCAATCTTCCAGATGATGATGATGAAGGTATAAATACAAACAGGTTTTAACATAAATAGAAGTTTCTGGTAATTAATACATGAAATTCTTTCCATTAATATTCAAACAAGTTATAGTAATACTGTGATTAATTTGGCTAGATTTAACCTCATACAAATGAGACATGTATTGAGAATAGGTACATAAGGGTGTTCTTCCCTTGTAACCCCTCCACTCATGGATTCTCAATTTTCTTTAATAAATCTACATTTTCTGAGTGGGTAGGTGAGGAATCTAGTTAACAAGTTTCCTTAACTTCTTGAGAGAAAATGTCTAATCTCTGTGGCAGGAACGTTGAGCAGACTTCTGCCTGCGGTATAAAGGAACACTTACTGGATAACCCTGTCTTGTTGAAGGAGGGTAAACTGTTAAGCTATCCTATAACCTACATGATTTTGCTTGTTTCCATTTCTAACTCCCTCATGTGCAGATGCAACCTTTGACGAGAGTGACTTTGATGATGAAGCATACTATGCAGCTCTGGGGACCAGGCCATCCATCAACATGGAAGAACTGGATGAATCCTACCAGAAGGTCATTGAACTTTTCTCTGTGTGTACTAATGAGGATCCTAAAGATCGTCCTTCTGCTGCACACATCGTTGAAGCTTTGGAACTAGATGTCCAATGATGCTTTTTGTGGCAGTCTAAGCAGTAAGCATAGTTTGTATGTGAACTGTTAACTCACATGCATTTATTTAGTTACTATGACTTGCAGAGTGGCTAGACTCTGGAAGTGGCTTATTTTAGGATCACTGTACAGTTAATATTTGCATAATTTTTTGACATGTTATAAGCATTTATTGTACTGGATAGTCTATGAATTTAAAAAAAAGCTAACTCTCCAGGGTACCTAGATGCTGCTCCTACTGATTTAAAACACTAGTCACCCTGTCTAAGATGACTTAGAATCAGGGGATCATTGCTTTACTAAAGATCATTTTAGATATTCTCTTTAGTGGGTTGTTAAAATTCACTTTATACAGTGCAAAGTTTATCTTCATTTGCTCATAAAATGTCCAGCTTTAGCTGGGCTGTCTGTTGGCCCATGTGCTTATTAAATGTTCTCTGGATCTTAAGAGCAGGAAAGAGTAGCTCCTAGGGTTTTTGACCCTGGTTACTGCTGCCTTGCATCTCTTCACATCTTAGTGTCTAATTTATTGAGTATATTTTCATGCTAATGTTATTTTGTTTTTACTGACTGTATCCTAAGTCTTCTAAAGTTGTAATGTAAGAATAAATAAAGGACAGTTTTGGTACCTCAATATTATCTTCCATTGTTTGTGTTGCCATTAGACTTGTGGAATGAATGTGCTTTTTCTCGAAACCTTGTTTTCCTATGTATAAAGTGAGATTAAATTGGATCAGTTGTTTGAGTCATAAATGGCTCTTTGGAATTACCAAAATTGGTGAAACCAGGTAGTGTACCCAGACATGGCTACATATAGAATATAGGTAATTCAGCAACAGATCAATAATTGGCATATTGTCCATCAAAACAGCAGGAAAGCAACAGCAAATTCAAAGTTTAATGGACAAAATGTAAATGTGCACACAGATTCAGTAGTCTTACCTACCCTTTCTCTGATTTATCATTTTTAATAGGTTTGTCCAAGTGACAGGTCTTGTGTACAGACCATAAAGCATGAATTGGGTCTAACACACAAATTGGCACATTGAGATTTATTGCCAGTTCCTATAGACACCCCATTTTCCACATATTTTACATAACTATGCTTTCCACAATAAACCAGAACTGGCATGCAATTCAACTCCACACTTTATTCAGATTTATTGTTCAGTGACTACTTTTTTTCTTCCAAGATCCCATTCAAATGCCACACTCAAATGTCACAATTCCATGACTACTAAATTTCAGGGTGTGGTGGTTTAGGAATTTTGTGCAACAGACCTCAACTGGGAGTCATCTTATGTTTATTTCATGTTCACATGGGCTTATATAAGGACCTGAGAAAGGTAAATGCCTTTCTCATACAGCAAACCACCAAATACCAACATGATGACACTGTTGACAGATCACTAGCTGTTGCTATTGTTGGCAGGGTATCTGCTAGTACAGTACTCATTTTTTAAACTTTTTGATATTACAAGATCTAGGCTCATTCTATATAATCTCTGACCCAGCAACTCCCAATTTTTTTTTTGAGAAACAAGATCTAAGTACATCTACTCATTGCTGTTATTAAATACCAAGACCTCTTGTGTGTGTGAAACCAAACTGCAAACAATGCAAATGTGTCAATAGCAAACCATAATGTACATTTAAAATCTAAGACATCAAATTAAGCTGCAAAGCAATGTCTCTACACCCAAAATAATATGGAAACTATTTCTTTCAGCATACTATTTCTCTAGTATCTCTATAGTTGTTTTCAAAAGATATTTATGATAAGAAATAAGTTATCAGAATATTAATGGGATTTTATCAATCCTGGGCCAGTAAGATGGCTCAGTAGACAAAAGTGCTTGCACAATCCTAGCCACTGACTTGGATCCTTGGAACCCATGGTAAGAAAGAACTGACTCCCAAGAGTTGTTCTCTGGCCTCCACATAGGCACCTTGAAATGCACACATGCACACACAAACATATTAATAATGACAATTATAAAAAAGGATAGTTGATTCCTCACAAATCACTGAACAATGAAATATTAATAAAATTTATAATATAACAGATTTTGTGCAGAAAATGGCATTAAAATATTTGTGTAATTACAGATAATTTTAACATTCCACATTCTTTTTGGAAGTATTACAGCAAATTAGAATAAAGATGAACCAATTTTACAATGAGCAATACAACCTAGAAACAAATGATCTTTAAAAATGCAAACAGCCTGAGTAATTTTTTGCTTTACAAACGAGTATCCAAATTATATCAGAAAATCTGAGTACACTCAGGTGTATAGCATATTCCATAAGGTCATTATGTTCTTAGGTCCACTAGTTTTGGTTCATGACTTCAATTACCTATCAGCATTTTCATGCAATGAAAACAGAAGATAACAGTGCCAAACACAGTCTTAATTAAATTTTATAAGTGTGCTTTTGGTTAATTTCCTAAGGGATTAAAAATTTAAAAGTTACAGAATTATTTTATATGAATAGATATGGGATGATTTCTGCTACTTTATTACAAATAGGGAATTCAAAATACTAAGTATTTTCAACTTAGCTGCTACAGTATGCTTATAAAGTGAGAATGTTACATAAGGAATTCAGAAATTATCTCATTGTCTGTGTTTAGATTGTCTTTACTGATGGAGCATGAGACAATCATGGTCTAAAAGTGTGTTGTTTTGTGTTCCTTTATAAAGTGGTCCAGTTTCTGCAGAAGCCACCTTGCTTTCAAGTTTTCAAAATTAAGAACTGTGTATCCAACCAAATACTTTTTCTTTGAGTCCCAAACAGTTGAACAAATTATCTCTCTAACATATAAGAAGTAAAACTGGTAACATGTACAATTTTCATCCTGATACTAATTAGTTATCTAGCTGAACTTCTTCACACAGTACCAGTTTGTGGTTGCAAGTCTCTTTAGCTATGAAAATTATATACAAGGAAATTAGGGGTGTTGCAGTACTTGGTTGCAAATAATTTGCCATCTGGTGTTGGGTCAGAAAATGCAATTTCATTAGTATTGAGAAAACAGCCGAACATGAAGCAATTCCTACAAAATAAAAGAGGAAAAACCATTTATCAACTAAAATTTTGGATTTTGATTAAACATGTACATTAAACAATATTAGTAACTGATTAAAACCACTACATTTTTGGCACCAGAATGCCTTGGATTTAGAGATGATGTCTCATGGCATCATCTCAAATGAGAACTCAAAGGTCCAAAGTGGAAAGAAAAAGAAAACCAATTTCCTCAAGTTGTCTTCTGACTTCCACGTGTGCCATGGCACGTGTGTACCACACACAAAACAAATGATAATCATACCACCACTACCAAAGAAAAATAAAAACCATAATATTTAAGAAGGCTGAAAAATCTAAAGTTTCCTTGATCTTGTTCAACTATAATCAAAAGTACTGAAAATGAAGTAGTTAAAAGGGGTTCAAGGCTGGTGAAACGGCCCAATGACTTGGAACGGAACTTACTGCCAAGCCTGATGACCTGAGTTCAAACTCCAGGACCCACATGGTGGTGGGAGAGAACCAATTTCTGCAAGTTGTCCTCTATATACATGCCTTAGCAGGTGTCCGTGTCATCCTCCCCTCCCCCATCACACATACAAAATAAGGAAATAAATGTTAAAAACAAAAACCCTCCAGGGGATCTACAAAATAACTAGCTATACTCTCTATGATAGTGAGTTTGTCACTTTTGATTAAGACATAAATGATCTAGTAAAACACACCTCCAAATGTGTTTAAATGTATCTGCATAAACAATTAGATCATGAAGCTCTGACCTAACAGATTTATCCTTGATGGGTTTTTGCAATGGCACTCCTGGGAGGTGGTGCCTAGTTAGAGGAAAGAGGTCACTCAGACATGTTCTTAGGCACTATATTTTGTACCTGCTTCTTTCTGTATTTCTCTCTGCTTCTTGAACACCAGGATGTAAGTTCAGCTCATAGTGCCCTCCCTGCCATGATGAACTGACACTTCTGAAACCATGAGTCAAAGTAAATCATCCCTACTTTAAATCATGCCAAGTACCCTGTCACAGCCACAAAAAAAAGGAAAGCACTTCAAATTCTTCAATGTGGAAAAAACAAAAACAAGCAAACAAACAAACAAAAAAAAATGGAGGTGTGGGATGCTAAGAAATGTGCCAGGTTAATGGAGAAAGTCTAACCAAACCTGAACATGGTGCCAAACACTGGTAATTCCTGGCAGGCCGCAGCAGAAACATCATTAGCTCAAGGATAGCCTAAGCTACACAGGGAGTTTTGTGTCAAACACAGTCAAGAAAGTAAACATCCAAAGCAGTGGTTCTCTACTTTCTCAATGTTGTGAGCCTTTAATACAGTTCCTCATGTTATGATGATCCCTCCTCCTCTCAACTATGAAACTATCTTTGTTGCTACTTCATAACTAATTTTATAGAGGAGCAGTGTCTTAGTTACTAAGACCATTGGAAATACTTATTTTCCAATGGTCGACCACAGATCTAAAGAAACAAAACCAAAAAAAACTAGTAAAAGTCATTTGAGATTTAGTCATGAAAATGAAACCTGGACTGTCAACTAGATAAAGATATTGATACTGTTTCTTGAACTTGACCGACTGTTCTGTGGTTATGTAAGAACATAAATATTCTTGTTAAGAAACTGGGGGCTGAAGAGGCGGCTCAGTGGTTAGGAGTAAATATATACTTGTAGAAATTTGAAAGAGTGATCCCATAGGCTCATGTATTTGAATACTTGGTTCCTAGTTGGTAGAACAGTTTAGGGAGGACAAGGAGGTGTGTCACTGAGGATGGGCTTCAATATTTCAAAAGCCCACACCATTCCCAGTTACCTTTTTTTGCATCATGCTTGGATAAGATGTGAGTTCTCAGCTGTGATCTAGGACCATGCCTTCCTGCCTGCCTACTCACTGATTGTCATGAACTTTAACCCTCTAGAACTGTGAACCCCAAAATTAAATATTTTACTTTGTAAGCTGCCTTGGTCATACTGTTTTGCCACAGTAATAGACAAGTAACAAATAGTACCGCTCTTGCAGAGGACCTGAGTTTGATTTCCAGTACCCATATTGGGTGGCTCACAACAGGAGATCTAATATCCTCTTTTGGCCTCCATAGATAGTGCACTCACATGGCTTATACTCACAGACATAAAAACAATAACTTAAAAACAAAAAAACAGGGCTGGAGAGTTGGCTCAGAAGTTAAGAGCACTCGCTGGCTGTTCTTCTTGAGGTCCTGAGTTCAATTCCCAGCAACCACATGGTGGCTTACAACCATCTGTCAAGATATGGTGCCCTCTTCTGGCCTGCAGGCATACATGCAGGTGGAACACTGTACATAAAATACATAAAATTTTTTTAAAAAAATCCAAAAGACAAAATGAAGTGTACATGGTGGTGTATGTTCGTTAAGTCCAGCACTTGAAGCAGAAGAATCACTAGTTCTAGGTCAACCAGAGATTAACAATGAGACTCTATCTCAATCATAAAACCCATCTGAAAAAGAAAATCCAAGAAAGAAAGGAAGGAAAAATTACACTTAAGCTTGGCATGGAATACATATTGAGTTATTTGCTTCAAATGTCAACATTTGCTTTA